ATCCCACCTGCCATTTTTCTTTGCCATGTAACATATTTTATTAAATTCTTATCCTTTGGCTGATAGCAGAGACTGCTGGAAAGACAAGCCCAGGTATCATGGAGTACACAGACTCATTGTCTAAAACCCCAAACGGTGCTGTATTCCCTCCTCTATTGGGTTCTTTCACTCCGGAACACCCTTTGTCCTTCACTTCTAGGACAAAGTGGCCTAGGAGGCCACCCTAGGTTTCCAACCTTTGCTATCATTTATCAGACCTAAGGCCCTTCTTACATAGCATTTCATCTTGTCCCATTAGATTATTCCAGACTTGAAACCAAAATTATAAGTTTAAAGCATGACTCTTCTGCTCTCCATCCATCTCACTACTGTGTCACATTGAAGTGCTGGCATGAAATTCTCATGGAAATGTGCATCAAAGGAGGGTGGGGGGAAGCTCTGAAGAGAAGGGTCAGGCCTGCTATTTGATGTTCAAGAATGCCCAGGACAGGAGGAGATGAAACAATTGAAAAAAGAACAGATGTAAAATTGTGGAATAGCACTTCTCCTTGGCGGAAAGAAGACAAGCTGCTTAGCAGTGATTGTGAAGGAAAGGCGTTCACTGCTGTGGTAGCTAAAGAAAGAGATGGAATTATTAATGGCTAATAGTCTGTAGTGCTACATAGGTCAAACAGAAAGATGATAAGAAATGTATACTATTTCAGGCAGTTAGAGGATAGGACATTGGTAACCCTGGCAAGAATACGCTAAAAAGGTGAGAGAAGTTAGGCCCCAGCTAAGACTAAAAGATGAATTAGAAAAAAGTCCCTTTGCTTTTCTCTGTCTCATGGACACCATTCCCAAGCATCATTTAATAAGCACACAGTACCTCTGTGAGAAGAAAAGACCCTATTCCATCCCTAGCACCAATGGGAAGGATTTCAAGACTCCAGTTCCTCAGCTTCTAGTCAGTTTCCACCTCGTCCTTTTTTTTTTTTTTCCCTTGGCAGGGAGCCTCCTTTCCTGAAGCCTGAAGCCTAAAGCCTAAGGAAAGAATGCTGATCTGCCAACCATCAACTATTTCCTTTTCTTCTGATCTAACTTCAAGATCCTTTTGCAGAAAGATATATGGTTAAAAATTCTTTTTATTTTTTAAGATTTTATTTATTTATTTGACAGAGATCACAAGTAGGCAGAGAGGCAGGCAGAGAGAGAGGAGGGGAAGCAGGCTCCCTGCTGAGCAGAGAGCCCGATTTGGGGCTCGAACCCAGGATCCTGGGATCATGACCTGAGCCAAAAGCAGAGGCTTTAACCCACTGAGCCACCCAGGTGCCCCTATGGTTAAAAATTCTTATCCCTGCCTCCTAGTTGACATCAAAACACCCATTCCACACTAACTCACTGTTTTTCTAAAGAGCTTTATTGAGGTACAATTCATATAAAATCTGGCCATTTAAAGTGCACAATTCAATAACTTTCGGTATATTCACAGAGTTGTACAACTCACCAGAGTCAATTTCAGAACATTATCATCACCCCCAAAAGAAACTGGATACATTTTCCTATCACCCTCCAACCCTCCCCTCCTCCATCCCTAAACTTAGGCAACCATTAATCTCCTTTCTGACTGTATTTTCTATTCTGGACATTTTGTATAAATGGAATCCTACAATATGTGCCCTTTTCTGTCTGGCTTCTCACTGAGCCTAATGTTTTCAAGGTTCATCCATGTTGCTTCATGTATCAGTATTTCATTTCTTTTTTATGGCCAAATAATGTTCCATTGCAGGGATATATAACATTTTGTTTATCCATTCATTCATTGATGGCCATTTGGGTTCTTAACACCTTTCAGTTTTTACAAATAATGCTGCTTTGAACATCCATGTAAAAGTTTTGTTTGGATGTATGTTCTCATTTCTTTTTGGTTTATACCTCATGGTTAATTGTGGAATTGCTAGGTCATATGGTACATCTATGTTTAATTTTTTGAGGAACTGCCAGTTTGTTTTCCAAGGCGCCGTACCACGTAATACTCTCATCATTAGTGCATAAGGGTGCCAATTTTTGCACATCCATGCCTTATAATTACTTACTTTTGATTCTAACCATCCTAGTGGGTGTGAAGTGGTATCTCATGATTTTGGTTTGCATGCCCTTTATGACTAAAGATAATGAGCATTTTTCTTGTGCTTGTTGGAGAACTGTTCATTCAGAGTCTTTCTCTGTTTATTAATTGAGTTTTCTTCTAATTTTTGATTTATAAGCATTGTTTATATATTCTAGGTATACATACATTGTCAGATATATGATTTGCAAATATTTTGTTCATTCTCTTGAGTTGTCCTTTCATTTTTTTTTTAAGATTTATTTATTTGAGAGAGTGTGTGTGCAAGTGTAGGGAGGGGTAGAGGGAGAGAGAAAATCTTCATCAGACACACTGAGCATGGAGCCCAAGGCAGTGCTTAATCCTAGGACCCTGAGATCATGACCTGAGCTGAAACCAAGAGCTGGACGCTTAACTGACTGAGCCATCCAGGCGTCCCTCTTCTTTTTTTTTTAGGTAGACTCCACTGCTGAGTTGGGGCTTGAATTCTTTTGATGCTGAGATCAAGAGACCCATGCTCTACTGACTGAGCCAACTGCCCTAGTCTTTTCATTTTCTTGATAGTGTTCATCTTCTTGATCGTCTTTGCAGTACAAAATTTTAAAATTTTGATGAAGTTCAGTTCATCCTATTTTTCTTTTGTTGCTTGTGCATTTGGTGTTCATATGTAAGAAACCTTGTTTAATGCCACAATTTGGTTTTAGAAAAAAAAATTTTTAAACATTTTATTTATTTGACAGACAGAGATCACAAGTAGGCAGAGAGGCAGGCAGAGAGAGAGAGGTAGGGAAGCAGGCTCCCTGCTGAGCAGAAAGCCTGATGCAGAGCTCAATCCCAGTGTCCTGGGATCCTGACCTGAGCCAAAGGCAGAGGATTTAACTCACTGAGCCACCCAGGTGCCCCTAGTTTTAGAAAATTTTTATCACTCCTACAAAGTCCCTATACTTTGTTTACAACTGATTCTCAGTTTCACTGTAGGTCACTGATCTGTTTTCTGTTTTTCTAAATTTGTCTTTTCTGAACATTTCATACGAATGGGGTTATCAAATACGTGGTCTTTAATTTTTATTTATTTGACAGACAGAGATCACAAGTAGGCAGAGAGGCAGGCAAAGAAAGAGAGGGGGAAGCAAGCTCCTTGCTGAGCAGAGAGCCCAATGTGGGGCTTGATCCCTGGACCCTGGGATCATGACCTGAGCCAAAGGCAGAGGCTTAACCCACTGAGCCACCCAGGCACCCCAATGACTTAGAATTTTTTAAGGTTCAACCATGTTGAAGCATGTATCAGTTTTTGCCTCTTTATTGCTGAGTCATAGTCCATTGTATGGCTATGATCTGCTAATGGACATTTGGATTTGTTTCTTTAGCTATTAAGAATATTTTTGGAGCTGTTGTGAGCATTTGCATACCATTCTTGGTGTAGACATGTTTTTATTTTTGAGAGGTTTCCCTAGAATAGAATTTTTGGGATATATGATAAGCTTATGATTTACTTTTTAAGAAACTGTCAAACTTTTTTCCAAGGTACTATAACATTTTATATTCCCACTATGTGTAAGAGTTCTAGTTTTTCCACATCCTCACTAACATTTGGTATCACCTGTGTTTTTTTAATTAATTAATTAATTTATTTATTTTAAGTAGGCTCCACACCTAATGTGGAGCTAGAACTCAAAACTGTGAGATCAAGAGTCACACGCCCTACAGACTGAGCCAGTCAGGTACCCCTGGCATTATCTGCATTTTAAGAATTGTAACCATTCTGTGTGTGTCCATGTGTCATGGTATTTTATGGTTTTATTATTTTTTAATTTTTTAATTTTTAATTTTTTAAAGATTTTTTTAAAAGATTTTATTCTTTTAAGTAATTTCTGCACCCAACGTGGGGCTTGAACTTGCAACCCCAAGATCAAGAGTCACACACTGAGCCAGCCAGGTTATCTTGTGGTTTTAATTTGCATTTCCCTGATGGCTAATCATTTTTTAATATGGTGCTTAGCCATTCATTTTTTCCCATAAAATTCCTTCATGTTTTCCTGTTCATCTTAAAATGGTTTAGATTCTTTTCATTATTGAGCTTTGAGAGTTCCATATTGTGGATACTGGTCAGTTCTAAGATTATAAAGTAGGTAATAATCGGAAAATAATTTCTCCATTTTTGACTTTGAATTTTATTTCTTTCTTTTTTAAGATTTTATTTACTTGACAGAGATCACAAGTAGGCAGAAAGGCAGGCAGAGAGAGAGGAAGGGAAGCAGGCGCCCTACTGAGGAGCCTGATGCGGAGCTCGATCGCAGGACGCTGGGATCATGACCTGAGCTGAAGGCAGAGGCTTTAACCCACTGAGCCACCCAGCCACCTCTAATTTTCTTGCCTTTGTAGCAAAAGTTCTTAATGAAGTTCAGCTTACCTATATTGAGTTGGTTTTATCTGTGGTAAGGATCACAGTTTTGCTTTGTTTTTGCGTACTGATAGCAGTTCTCTTGGGTCTCATTTGTTGAAAGGGACAGGTACTTTTGAGCAGAGCGGGTTGTGCAAGCCGTTCCGCCACCAGTCGCCCTGCATAGGGTTGAGCAGAATGCGGTAGCGTGCTGGTGCTCCCTGGTGAGCAAAGAAAGGATAGGCGGATTACCAAGGGCCTTGGCCTGGTCTCAGTTCGTTTTTGGAGATACTTTGTGCCTCGGCTTTTTTTTGTGGCGACTCCGCGCGGTACTACAATTCCCAGCATGCACTGCGCGGGCCTGCTCTCTGCGGGGGCAAACTAGACAGACCTGGAAGTGTGGTTGCGAGAGAAGGGCTGGGACACGGTTTCTAGTACTGATATCGATTTCTCAGCGTTTTGGCCTGCGCGAAGGACTAGCAAGCCGAACCCTGAGAAGTACCACTTCCCCGCTCAGACACGTTCCCTCCCTCGGGTCCGCCGTAGCCTCCCTCAAGGATCGCTACCCGACTCGTTTCTTCCTCGAGTTTCCCGCCGGCACTAACCCTTGAAGAGGACCAACCGCAGCCGAGAGTTTTGCCGACCGGGCCAACCAGAGGCGAGATGGAAGAGGCGGGGGTGGGAGCCGCCACAGTGTGCAGGAGAGAGTCCGTTTCTCCGGTAAAGGGCGAGTCGCTCCTGCTGGGGCCCGGAGGGGAGCAAAGGAGCTGCGGGGGGTTGCGGAAGCGGAAGGACCCCTCCCCGCTCCGTTGGGGACCGCGGCGGGGCCGGGCTTACCTTTCAGCGGTCCCCTCCAGATGTCCAACCCCAGCCTCGGCCACCATGTCGTACCAGACCCCTCTGGGCACCTCAGTGCCACACGCCAGCTGCCTAGACCTGTGGAGGGAAAAGAATGACCAGCTAGTTCGACAGGCCAAGGTAACACGGTTGCTGGGACCCTCGCTTACCAGAAAGGGGGTTTCCGGTGGATTTACCGCAGCTGATGGGGAGGGATTGAGTTTGGCTTCCCCCATCAGGAGCCAGAAATGACTGGAGAATGTCATCCCTTGCCACTGTTGCAAGGGGAGAAATAAGGATTGATCCTCAATGATACCTCATCCCACATCTGTTAGGTGGCTCAGGACTCGGGTCTGTCTCTGAGGCGACAGCAGTTGGCTCAAGATGCACTGGAAGGGTTCAGGGGACTCCTCCATAGTCTGCGGGGTAAGTAGGATACTCCTCAGAATAGTCAGTTACCTTCCCCCAGCTAGAGACCACTTCCTGTTCTGCATTTCTGGAACTGAGAAAATTCCTCAGGGGGCAGGGGATCCTATTTAAGTCACAGACAGGACTGGAGTGGAATTCACTTTGGTGCAGGTGAATCTCTTTGCCCCGTCACTCGCCCTTTCCAAACTGTGCAAATGGCCATTTTGGTTGGGGTGAGGTGATCTTTGGGTTTGGATCTTATTTGGGGAATCCTTCTGCAGGGAGTGGTCTGTGAGATCAATTTGTGTTCCTCCAGGGCTCCCTGCAGCTGTTCCTGTTCTCCCCTTGGAATTGACTGTTACCTGCAATTTCATTACCCTGAGGGCGAGCCTGGCCCAGGGTTTCCCTGAGGACCAGGCACAGGATATCCAACAGGGCCTGGAGAGAGGTGAGGGCCAGAGATTGCTTTCCATTTCCCTGCCAGACTGTCTGGGTTTAAGTACTTGCAAAGGGGATATCAGGAGCAATAAAATTTGTCACTTCCATGGAGAGAGTTGCTATTCTCTTATCCTCCAGGTGCTCCTCAGACCAGGAGCACTTTTGTGACCTTTGGGCTCCTGTAGGAAGAGAAAAGGAGAGATGAGGTCCCAACCTCAGCGGTATGTGTGTCCTCTACAGTGCTGGAGACCCAGAAGCAGTTGGGGCCCAGACTGGAATGTGGGCTCAGGGGGCTGTGGGACTCCGTTCTCCATTATTCCACCCTTCTCCTGGAGGTGCTCCCTGCCCTTCACCACCTGGCTGGCCTGCAGGCTGCTGTCTGGCTAAGCACTGACTGTTTGGGGGACTTGACCTTCTTGCTGCAGACCTTGAATGGCAACCAGGTAATTTGGGAAGTAACCTGGATCTAAGGGTCTCTTCCTATCTCTCACCTGTCTCAGTGGCAGTAGCATCATTTTGTGCTGGAAAGGCTGCTGGGTTGGTGGTTAGAAGACCTGGATTCTCTCTGGGACTCTTGGTGACATTGCTCTGGTTGGTCTTTCACTGGGGGGATTCTCTTGAGTGGTGGTTTGTTTTTAATATTTATTTATTTGTTTTGAGAGAAAGAGAGAGGGAGTACATGCATGGGGTAGGGCATAGGGAGAGGGAGAAAATCTCAAACAGACTCAAGCGTAGAGCTGGATGTGGGGCTCGACCTTACAACCCTGAGATCATAATCTGAGCCAAAATCAAGAATCTTACACTTAACCAACCCAGCCACCCAGGTGTCTCTTGAGTGTTTTTTAAATTGCTTAATGATCTTGGATAGGGTTAGGGCTTTTATTGACCTTGCTGAAGTCATCTCCCAGCTTCAGTCTTCTCATCAATAACCCACACATGGTTCTTGCCCTGAGTCCTCTGGGCTCATACTGAATGAGAAGGCTCACTAGAACAGATCATCAATGCCCCAAGGTTTTCTTCCTCCCTTTATCCTCGCCCCATAGCTATCTATATCTTAAAACCGAGGGAATAAGAATCAGGAGGACCCTTGGTTTCAAGGTCCAGTCAGGATAGACTGAGAGAGGAGAGGAGAGGTGGTTTATAGGCTTAGAGCCTCTGATCACCCTTCTTTCCTCAGAGTGAGGCCTCTGAGAATCTGCTGCTGCTTCTGAAAACTTGGAGTCCCCCAGCTGAGGAGTCAGATGCTCCATTGACCCTGCAGGATGCCCGGGGCTTAAGGGATATCCTTCTTACAGCTTCTGCCTATCGCCAAGGTCAGCTAGCAGTCCTACTCATCCCTTCCTCCCCACTCCGTGTCTTAAGGGGTCCTTTGGCTCAAACCTTCCCTGTCATGTTCCATTCAGCCCAGTGGAGCTTCTCTGTACTTCTTGTTACCTATCATTCCCCTGCTTCCTTAAGTTTAAACCCTGAATTGACCTTAGGCCTCCAGGAGCTGATCACAGGAAGCCTGCCCAGGGCACTGAGCAGCCTGCAAGAAGCAGCCTCAGGTCTATGCCCACGGCCTGTGTTGGTCCAGGTGTACACGGCTCTGGGAACCTGTCTCCGTAAAATGGTAAAGACAGTCCTAGGGTGGGTTGGGGAAATTATGGGTGTTATAGACTGCTTTCTGCTTCATGAGGGTAGCTGAGGCTTGTGTCCTCTCAACCTTCTAGGGCAATCCACAAAGAGCTCTGCTGTACTTGGCTGCAGCCCTGAAAGGGGGAGCAACATGTGGTCCCCCGCTTCTGGAGGCCTCTAGGCTGTATCGGCAACTGGGGAACACAGCAGCAGAGCTGGAGAGTCTGGAGCTGTTGGTTGAGGTAAGGGACTGAAGACACAGGGATTGCTGAAGTGTTTGTGTTAGGGAGACTAATTAAATTGTAAATAGAAGGAAATAGGGCTCCCAAAGATTAAAGATATACTTTTTTCTTTTTGTCCCTTTTAGGCCTTGAATGTCACTCATAGTTTTGAAGCCCCTCAGCTTCTCATTGAAGTAGATTTACTACTCCCCAGACCTCACCCAGCCTCACCCCTTCATTGTGGCACACAGAGCCAAGCCAAGCACTTGCTAGCAAGCCGATGTTTACAGGTGGGAAGGTGAGGTTCCACTGCAAGGCTCATCTGAGCTCCTTTTCCCATTTCTGATGCCTTCCCTGGGGTGTGATTCTGCTTCTGTTCTTGCACGTCAGCTGTGTGGACAAGTCAGTGGTAGGACATAGGTTTCCACTCCTCGACCTTCTGCCTTATTGCTGGACCTGAACTTAAGACTCTTCACCCAGACACTAAGCTCCTGTATCTTTAAAACTCTGAAATCAATCGCTTCTTGGCCTTTTGGCTAAGATCAAGTGTAAAACCCTGAAATCTCCTCCCAAATCCATTCTGTAAGGAGGGTAGCTCCATACTGAGCTTGGATTGGAGCCCCAAGCTCCCACTCTCCCTACTCCCCAGGGACCTTGAGCATCCTTTCGTTAGTTTAGAGCCCTTGGAGGACCCTGCTAAGGACCTAAGGTGAAGCTCATAGGCTATGACTTCTCAGGGCAGAGGATGCTGCAGAGCATTATTTGGACCTACTGGCTCTGGTGCTGGATGGCTCGGAATCAAAGGTGGGTATGTCTTCAAGATTCTCTGTAATGGAGTGAGAGGGTTGGAGTCTCCTCTGGAGTAGAATAGGACTGCTGTTTTCTCTTTCTTCTGCTACTCTGTCTGTCCAAGCTGGAAGGCCAGACCAGGAAGGCTCTTGAGCAAAAGGTCTGGGGTAGCAAGCAATGGGTGGTCTCTGTGGTACCAGAGCCTGGTGAAGAGGTTGGGGATGGTGACTAATGTCTCTTTAAGACACTGTGTCCTCTTCCCACCCCAGTTCTTCCCCCCGCCTTCCCCTCTAGGGCCTTGTATGCCTGAGGTGTTCTTAGAGGCAGCTGTAGCACTGATCCAGGCTGGCCGAGCCCAGGATGCCTTGACTGTATGTGAGGAGCTACTTAGCCGCACGTCATCTCTGCTTCCCAAGATGCCCCAGATGAGGGAAGATGCCAGAAAAGGAACCAAAGAGTCACCACACTGCCCATCCTGGGTCTCTGCAACCTACCTGCTTCAGGGTCAAGCCTGGGTGCAGCTGGGGGCCCCAAAAGAGGCAATTAGTGAATTTAGCCGGTGAGCTCAGGAAGCCAACCAGAATCCTAGGGGAAGTGTGGAGGGATAATTTGCTTATTGGGACCCAAGTAAGCTCCATTCTTACCGACTCCCCCTAGAGTTTCTGAAGTTGACTCTTCCTCACCCCTATTCTGTGTCCCACTTCAGGTGCCTTGAGCTGCTTTTCCGGACCACACCTAAGGATGAAGAACAAGGTGATCTAGACTCTCAATTTTCCTCTTCCCTCCTGGAAGGGGAGGGTTGGTGAATGTGTTGCCTTTCCTTGCGTCCTAGCCTACCTTTTTAAAAAAAGGTCGGGGCGGGGGGGGTACTCCAGACATAAGAAGAGAAGGAGGAGTACTTGGGATTCTGTAGTACTACGTGCCTGTGTAGCAGGGACACACTTTTTGACTTCGGGGTGGTCCCCAGGGCCTGCTTCCAATGGTGAGAAGGGGTGTATATCAGATGTGGCACTACAACAGCTTCGGGCAGCTGCCCTGATTAGTCGTGGACTTCAGTGGGTGGCCATTGGCCAAGATACCAAAGCCCTACAGGACTTCCTCCTCAGTGTGCAAATGTGCCCAGGTATGTATATTTGCATGATATCAGCTAGGCCCAGATGTACAAGGACAGAGAGGGCCATCGGGAGGTACTTGGGGATCAGTGGAAGAGTGATGTTCCCAGATAGAAGGGGATGAATGGGGTTGTACCGTATATACCTAGGGATATACCCTGGCTTGAAGACCTTTGCAAGTGTGTGTGAAGGCTCTCTGGAGTTCCTCAGTCTTTCCAGTGTCCTCAGACACAAAGACCACAACTATGCTCAGAGTATGCTGGGGAGAAGCAGAGTCAGCTGAGCCCTTTTTCTTGGGCAGGCAGTACCCAGGAGTAGGAATGGTTGGGAATGGAACCTCCTGGTTCCATGTGTGACTATAGAAAAGATCCTTTCCTGCTCTAAGCCTCAGTTTCTCCTTTTATAAAATGCTTAAGGCTGTGTCAGGTTCTAAGCCTTTCTACTTTGGGGTGGGGCTACAGGTAATCAAGATGCTTCCTTTCACCTGCTTCAGACTCTGAGGAGGATGGATCGGAGGGATGAGGCCACTGCTCTCTGGTGGAGGCTAAAGGCCCAAACAGAGTTGCCACAGGAGAATGCTGCATGGTGAGGCTGAGGCCTGCGGGGTTGGGGCTGAGGGAAGTTGGCTTCCTGGAGTCCTTGAGTCTGTTGGGGGTGGTAATGAATGAAAGGGATGGAGTGGCTGCCTATCCTTCACCCTCAGACGTCACTTTTTGCTCTCCAGGTCTCTCCCCCTGTACCTAGAAACCTATCTGGACTGGATTCATTCCCCTGACCGTGAAACCCTTCTTGAGGAGTTTCAGACATCTCTGCCGGAGGCTCGTGATCTGTAGCTGCCACATTTTAAAGAGCCTGAGCTGGGGCTCCAGTGGCCTATTTCTCCATGGGGAGGGCTTTCTGCTTTACCATTCTTAAGGAGTGTGGGTGAAATGGATCATTCCTGTATAAGTCTGGCATTGGAGAAGTTGGTAGGAGTCCTGCAAAATTTGGCCTAGTTACTGTCATTCTGGTTCCTTTGCCACCAAAAAGCCATTAACTTTGCTTATGATGCCTTTTTTCCTATATTCCTGTTAATTGTGTTGAGTAAAATGCATATTTATCTCTTGTTTGCCTACTACATATACTTGAGTGGGAAGGCTCACAGCTGTCTGATTCAGTTGAGTGCTGGTTATCTAAGATGCCCTCTCTCAACATCATCTACCTTATGAGATTGAGTTCTGGGTAGAAGAAAGGGCCACAGGAATCCTTGCAGTGGCTTTGGTTCTTTCTGTTGCCTAAAAGTCAGAGTCCCAAAGCCCAGAATCCTGTGCAAGGTCACAGAATGAGTGGAGCTGGGTCTGGAAGGTGGTCTGGGCAGACCTCTCAGGACAAGGGCAAACATTTGGTTCTTAGAGGGGAGGGACAAGCAGACCTCCGAGTCTCTAAGTGACTCCCTACCCCTATCCCAAATTCTAGAAATTTGGGATTTGACAGTCTCAGTCAACCCTGCCTGTGTGGATAGGAGGTGAAGGGTGAATTAATATAATCAGCATGATACCAAATCTGTTTATTGAATTTAGTCAGGGCTAGCTGGCATTTGGGGCCCAAGGACTTCAAGTCTCAGCATGCAGTTTTCTTGCTGCTTTGGGTTCTATTGAATCTACTGAGTTCCGTGGTTGCCTTTAGACTCCTTTTTGGACTTGAGTGCCCTCCCTCCTCTAGCCATTAATATAAATACCCAGTGGTAAGAGGAAGCATGTACCTCCAAGCTCTGAGGAACTGTAAAGCCTATGGGATTAGGGTTACCAGAGGGTGCCACAAGAATAGGGTGGAGTGGATTAAAAGGTGGGGTGCTAGTCAAAGGGTTCAGAGTAGGCATGGCTCCAGCCGGCATTTTGAAGAAGCCAGGAGAAGGTTTAGGGTGGATCCTCAGGTTTGGGAAGAAAATGGTGTGTAGGTTATCACTGCAACAGGACTAGACTAATACAAGGGTTCAGTCCATTGTGCCAGGTTCTTCAGCAGGGTAAGATCAGGAACCAATGAACTAGAGCCAAGTGGGAGAGTCCGCCTCCCAGGGATTAAAGGCTCTTTTATTCGCCCGTCGATCTGGCCCCATCCTTTTCGTTGATTGGTCGCAAATTCCAATCCGTCGAGGAAGCGTAGCGCTGCGGCCAATTGACGTGGCGTTACTAGGCGTGTTGCATCCCTGAGGCGGGAGCCGGGCCGCAAGCGAATTTCCTGATTGGCTCTGGTCGGCGGGTTGCTGGGGAGAGGCGCGGAGAGGCGGGAGGAAGTGCCCAGGCCAGGCGCTGATTGGCTGAGGTGAGAGCACCTCTCCTTCCGATGATTCGGCTCTTCTGGGTTCAGTCTCAGCGCAGCGTCTGCAGCCGTCGTTTGAGTCGTTGCTGCCGCTGCCCCCTCCCGGATCAGGAGCCAGTGTATACCGCCCGCCCACCGCCTCGGTGCCTCTAGGAGGAAACGAGAAGGAGGCCGCCTGCGGGTTTGTCGCCGCAGCTCGCCCCCTGCCCGGGAGAGCCGAGCCCCGGCCCAGTCGGTCGCCTGCCACCCCTCATAGCCGTTACCCGCGGGCCGCCACAGCCGCCGGCCGGGAGAGGCGCGCGCCATGGCCTCTGGAGCTGAGTGAGTGTGTGCGCGCGCCCGCCCGCCCACTGCGGGTGCGCGCACCTGGGGACTCGCGGCGCTGGGTAGGCCCGGCGGGGCCTGGCCGTGGGCGCGTCTAAGAGGTGGAGGCAGGGAAGGAGGGAGACAGGGAAAGCAGAAGAAGCGGGGTGATGAGGGGCCGCGGTCCGGTCTGGGCCTGGCTGCGCAGCCGCGCGCCCCTTAGGCCGGGCTTGCGTTGGGCCTGGGTCGGGGCCTGGGCCAGATCGTGCTGTGTCATGCAGGCCCGGCCGGCCTGATTGGCTCCCTGGGAACCGCTGTCCGGTTCTTATGAAGTCTCCGGTCCACATGGCCGGCGCGGAGCCCCAGGGCCTTAGGGCGCCCACCTGCGATCAGGTCTACTATCCGCGGAAGGCCTTTGGTCCCCGGAGGGAGCAGGCCCTGTGGGCCCAACGCCCTAACTGGGCCCGGTGGGCGTGGACTTTAGGCCACGTGAAGGCCTTAGGAGCTGCGAGACAGGCGGAGGCCGGAGCGGGGAACTGGGAAGACTCGGCGAGCTCAGGGAAGCTCACGACGGCTGTTTCGGAGCTGGGTCGGCCTGTCCCTTGGTTGACATCCTCACGACCTGAGTAGTGAGGGGCTGTTAGGGAGAGGGCGGGCCGTAGGTTTCTGGCCTTCGTAGTTTATGTTGGTTGTTCACATGATAAAGCTTTAGTCAGTTTTCCTTAATGTTAGGAAGTGTGGGTGGGAAGTAGGAACTTTTCTCTACTGTTTTGGGCGTTTGCTAAAGTTCGAATCTCAGTTGGTAATTTGCGGGCCTTCCTCGATATCAGCCTTTGTGATGAGAAGGTTAGAGTTGCCCTAACTCTTTGAACACACACGCTCCTTTCTCCAAACCGCTGTGTTGAGAAATCTTGGGTGGTCAGTTCCTCAGAAAAGCATCAGATAAGAGATGACCACCTCAACCCCTCTGCCCATTATATTTAGAATCAAGAGCTTTAGATACTGAAAAAGGAAAAAAAAAAAAGCCATCCTGTGGAAACTCTTATGCAAATCACTTTCCTGACTTGAAGAGAATTAATTTTTTTGAGGTGTGTTTCTTTTTTTTGGTCTGTAAACCGAGATGAAGTATTACTTGGGTGTCTTTAAAAGGACCATTACTTATTAATATCTACTCTCTTAGGTTATTTAGTCAGTTATTTATTTTCAAGACTAAAAATAAGAATTCAAAATTCTTGGAACCTGGCATCATAGATGGTTTCTAACCTCTAGGTCATCTTGATGACTCTTACCTGAATTCCCTCCAAGTCCCCTGTGGCCCATTGGAGTTCTGGAAAGGGCCTGACTCATGCAGAAGACAATGGGGGATGTCCCCAAAGAGCCTCCAGGACTGCTGTTGGCCCACGATCAGGCTGAAGCTCTCTTTTAGAGGTTACTTCCTTTGATCTTAGTAGATAGATAGGGAAGTAAAGGTCTTTACCTTAAGAGAAGGACATACTGCTCATCTCCATTGCCAGGGTCAGGAAGGGTAGGCAGGTTAGTTTTCCTAGAATGCGGTTTTGGGGTTAAAATATAAACTGTGATGACTAGAGGCGTCTGGCATTTTATTTTTCTCTAGCCCCAGTACCATAGATTAAATAGGAAGGTGGGCAGTCTTTGGAAGGTATTTTGATGTGTGGGAGAGAGGGAGAGTTGATGGGATGGAATTGCCTTCAGCTGCCATATTGACCATACTTGTTCTCCAGCATGTTGATAAGCACTGGAAGAGTCTGCCTGCTATGCAGCATTGTGCCCAGAGTGCTACACTTTTAGGTTGAGGAGGCAAGTTTAAGCTGAGAAAACTCCACTCTTAGAAATCAGTTTTAAGGTGATGATTAAAGATGTAGCCTGTGTGAGAGGATCAGCAGATTTACTAGATGAATGGGATTTGTATTTCTGTTGGGTATATCAGGACCAAAAGATGGAGAAACATCACAATGCCCTCGCTGGTATTCTGGAATATAGGCATCTTTTTTTTCTTGTAAGTTGTGAAGATACATCCAGCATAGGAGGGTGTCTGGCCTGTAATGTATACTTGCTAATTTGTTAAATGAAGGAATAATTAATGGGAAAGATTCCTTTTTATTTCTTCATTTTCTCCGTTTTCTGGTCTCCCTGTTTTGGTTAATCAGATTTTCCTGAGCCTTAGTAAAAGAGGATAACTTTTCAAAGGGAAAGCCCACTGAGTCTAGTTACTGAAGATTGAAGAAGAGGTAGGTAAAAAGTTGGTATAAAGTGAATAATCTTCAAGGAAATGATTGAAACTATTTAGAGGGCTTAAACTGAGCTTAGACGCAGGCAGCCTTGATTTGGGTGAGGGATTTGGATTTGCTCCATGTCTCAGCATATCTTGGTTTTGACTTTTTGAGCCAACATTGTGGAATTGTATGTCTTTGCAGCGATTTGTGAAACTGTTTTTGAGCCTGGCCGTCTTTTTGAAGGTTTCATATCTGTTAGTTGAGTTGTTTTGTTTTCCCCAAATATCATTGGTCTTTATGCTTGGCATTTCTGTGGTATATCAAATGTGCTGGCATTCAGCTGGTTTAGCCAGTAAGGACAGTAGTGCTAATGATTTTGCTTCATTGTCCCCAGGCTTGCTTGGTGGGACTTGGGGCTTCGCTGAGCCCTACAGGAAGTTGTCTTGCTCACTTCATTCTCCAAGAAGGTTAGCAAAGAAAGAGCTTATGCTTTGTTCTGAAGTGCTAATCATTGTGACCATTAATACCATGTGCCAGGCATTGTGTTGAACATTTTGCATTCATTATCTCACTTAAGACAATAATCCTGTAAGATAGGTACTACAGTATTCACCTCTCTACAAGTGAGGACATCAACTTCCAGAGAGGTTAAGTAAGTTGCCCAAGATCACAGTTAAGCAGTGGCAGGGTTGGAATTCAGACCTAGCAGGTTTTACTGCGAACCCCTTCTCCTAATCGCTGTCTCATATTAAGACTGTTGTCGTTTCTCTAATTGTTATTCAGCCTCTACATCTATTTAGTCTTCTCAGGCCATAGTTTCCTGACTCTGGGGCAAGATCACTTGGGGCCTTTACAGCTAGGTTACCAGTGTTCAGAATACCAAGAGCTGCTAGAATGGGAACTGTATGTGCTAAATGTTACTCTTTATGACCTTGGCTGAATATCTTTTATCTCACCTCTCTGGTTTAGGGACAGCTTCATTTATCCACTATTTCTTTCCTAAGTGTGAGTTTTAATGACTGGTGGGGCCCTTGGGACTAGAGTATGTATTGGGACTAACTTCATTTTCTTTCTAGTTCAAAAGGTGATGACTTATCAACAGCCATTCTTAAACAGAAGAACCGTCCCAATCGGTTAATTGTTGATGAAGCCATCAATGAGGACAACAGTGTGGTGTCTTTGTCCCAGGTAAGTTGGGTCCAAGGTCTAATCTTTCCTCATTGCACTTAACCTGAGGGCTTTTCCCAGGTTTCTTTCCTTGGGTTTTTTGTTTGTTTGTTTGTTTGTTTTTTGCAGTGACCGCAGAAGAGCAGGGTTTACTGGGTATTCTAGCTTCCAGGGGCTGCTGCTTAACCCCTGGCCCAGTGACCCAAAGCCCTTAACCTTCTTTTCTCAGCCCAAGATGGATGAGCTGCAGTTGTTCCGAGGTGACACAGTGTTGCTGAAAGGAAAGAAGAGGAGGGAGGCTGTGTGCATTGTGCTTTCTGATGACACATGTTCCGATGAGAAGATTCGAATGAATAGAGTTGTTCGGAACAACCTTCGCGTACATCTAGGAGATGTCATCAGGTGTGTATGGGGTTCTTGTCCCCTCAGGGATGGGAGGCCAGAGATAACCTGAACTATAGACAGGACCCCAGCGAAGTCCTTGGCAGCTACATAAAGCAGAAACCTCCTAGCCATGGGAAGGCTTACTATAGCAAGACTGTCTAGGTTTTGTTTCTTCCTCCCTGGGACTTCAGAATTTACTTCTGCTGACCCTTGGGACAAATTGGATTTCTGTGACTTTCGTGATGCCTGTCTTCCTTCCTTCCTTCTTTCCTTCCTTTCTTTCTTTGCCAGAGGTATAATTTATCACATGCTAGACACTGGTTTAGGATGCCATTTGAGGGTGTGTGTCTATAAAATGATCTCACTGTTATGTTGAAATAATGGCTTGTATTGGGGCAAGAATGAGGTGGAAGTGTGGGCACAGAGGGTGGACTCCGAGTAAATTTTTTTAAGGATCCAAGTTAATATAGGAGGGAGGCATAGTTTGAGTCAGATCCCCGAATAGCTTCAGTTGGAGTGATTTTGGCCTTAACTTTAGGCAAGAGGCTTCCCCATTTTGGAGTCATCATTAGCCATTGCTGTTCAACCACCTGTCATCTGGCCAGGAACATCTCAGACTTCCTGATTATTTTTCATGGATTCTAGGTTTCGTGTAGCCTTCTTCCTAGAGGTCCTTAGTCACTTTGTCAAGATGCTCTGATCACTTGGCTGAGATGATTTTTTTCAGTTCTGTTTCTTTGATCCTGACACTTGTCTGAGGCCTCCCTTTGTAATATTGGGTTACTGATACAGAATGGGTCATCTTTGGATATCTCTCACTGAAGACCCTTCCTCCTGTTTTATTTTGGGGGCTTTAC